AACCAGGGTGTCAGTGGGGGTGGCTCCTTCCCACAGCTCCAGGGGAGAACCTCCGTCCCGGCCTTTTCCAGCTTTTAAAGGCCACCTGAAGTCTTGGCTCACGGCCCCTTTCTCTGTCTCCAAGTTCAAAGTGCATCACTCCCATCTCTTCCGTCGTTTTGTAGTCTCTTCTCCAGTAAGTTGTCCCTCTCTCTGCTTTATAAGGACACTCATGATGACGTTGAGAGCCCATTGTTTAACCCATGGATGCTTAGCGCATGACCATTCACCCCAAATCACCTCTGTCCCTGTGCCCTCTGACCCTTGCCACAAGTAACCATTGATTTTTCAGCTAACAGATGGCTCTGCTTGGTGCTTTTTCAGTTAAAAATTACAGAAGTCTGGTCAGTTTAAACTGAATGGGGATGGGGTGGGGACCTGCTCTCTTTCTTCCACTTGCCCCATCACTCTCTCCAGTGGTGGCTGAGAGCATGGCGGGTGCCCCAGGTGCGTGTGTGCCCTGCACCTGCCAGTAAAGGCGGCCACCTGCCCTTGGACACCTAGGGAGAAATTCCAGGGGAGGCCTCTGGTTGGCCACTGGGATCTCCATGTCTGCTTGAATGAATCAGTCATTGTGGCCACGCCCTCTGAGCACTTGGGTCTCACACCCACCCCTGAGTTAGAAGGGTGGGCGTTGCTCCAGCCTGCCCTCCGTCCTCCTAAATGATGAGGGTGCCGTACACCTCAGCTCTCCAGGGCCCATTTCTGCGAGGTTCAGAAGGGCACTCAAGGGAGCATCTCCAGCCCCCTTCCTGCTTGCGGTCAGCGGGGAAACCTGGGGAGCAGGTCCTAAAGGTGTTGGTGTGCTTCTTCTGGTCTTGCTCGCCAGAAGCTCCTGGAATCTGGCTGCCTTCTCAGGCTGAGGTCAGTCACAGTGCCTGCTCTTGGCCTGCCCACAGCAGGGGGGTTCCCACTGGTGCTGTACAGGGGCAGTGCACGGCCCCAGCACCTCTGTCTCCTAGCGCCTGTCCCCCACCCCGCTCCTTTCCTGGTAGAGTTGGCAGGGCCTGGTTAGGGAGAAGGAGTGGCCACTTGTTAGGATTGTCCAGTCCCACTGCCCTCCAAACCGCACTGCATCGTGCCAGTGAGGTTGCCTTTCCAAAACTGCCATCTGATCATGTCACTTCCTCTGCTTTAAAAATCTCCCCAAGGTTGCAGACCCTGACGGATTTGCTTTGGGAGCCGGAGTAGCTGCTGCCACCGGAGTCGGGAGCCATGAGCGGGTTTAATTTTGGAGGCAGTGGGGCCCCCACAGGCGGGTTCACGTTTGGCACTGCAAAGACAGCAACAACCACCCCTGCCACCGGCTTTTCTTTCTCTACGTCCGGCACTGGCGGGTTTAGTTTTGGGACTTCATCCCAGCCTGCGGCGAGTGCCCCATCTACCAGCCTGTTCTCGCTCACGACCCCAGCGCCAGCAGCACAGAGCTCCGCGTTCAGTTTTGGAACCACAGCACCTGCCACAGGAGGAACTGGGTTTTCCTTAGGGATCAGTGCTCCAAAGCTGAATCTGAGCAATGCAGCTGCCACCTCAGCCACAGCACAGCCCAGCGGCTTCGGGCTCGGGGGCAGCACCCTCACCAATGCCATCTCAAGCACCGTCACCTCCAGCCAGGGCACAGCGCCCACCGGCTTTGTGTTCGGCTCTACCACCACCTCTGCTGCTCCATCCAGCACACCAGGGGGCTTTTCCTTCACAGGTGGAAGCACGTCCCAGACCGGGGGGACCTCCACTTTCAACATTGGCTCCATGGGGAGTTCCACCCAGCCCACAACACTTGGTGGGTTGGCCTTCACTCCAGCCACACCGGCAGCCACTGGAGCAGGAGCCACACAGCCAGCTGCTCCCGCACCCACTGCTGCCACCTCCAGTGCTGGGCCCACACTCTTTGCCTCATTAGCTACCGCTCCAACCTCGTCTGCCACCACTGGGCTCTCCCTTGGTGCCCCAGCAACCACAGCTGGAACATCTGGGACTGGAACGCTGGGCTTCAGCTTAAAGGCCCCTTCTACCACATCTACAGCTACATCCACCGCCGCCGCCGCCACCACCAGCAGCTTTGCCTTGAATCTAAAACCACTGGCAACAGCCGGGATCGTCAGCAGTGCGCCCACCGCCTTAACTGCTCCGGCTGGCCCCAGTGCAGCCAGTGGGGTGTCCACCAGTCCAGTGATGACCTACGCCCAGCTGGAGAGTCTGATTAACAAGTGGAGCCTGGAGCTGGAGGACCAGGAACGTCACTTCCTGCAGCAGGCCACACAGGTCAACGCCTGGGACCGCACCCTGATCGAGAACGGGGAAAAGATCACCGCCCTCCACCGAGAGGTAGAGAAGGTGAAGCTGGACCAGAAGAGGCTGGACCAAGAGCTTGACTTCATCCTGTCACAGCAGAAGGAGCTGGAAGACCTGCTCAGCCCCCTGGAGGAGTCGGTGAAGGAGCAGAGTGGGACCGTCTACCTGCAGCACGCCGATGAGGAGCGCGAGAAAACCTACAAGCTGGCTGAGAACATCGACGCACAGCTGAAGCGCATGGCCCAGGACCTCAAGGACATTATCGAGCACCTGAACACGTCCGGGGGCCCTGCCGACACCAGCGACCCACTGCAGCAGATCTGCAAGATCCTCAACGCACACATGGACTCCTTGCAATGGATCGACCAGAACTCGGCCCTGCTGCAGAGGAAGGTGGAGGAAGTGACCAAGGTGTGCGAGGGGCGGCGCAAAGAGCAGGAGCGCAGCTTCCGCATCACGTTCGACTGAGCCCAAGGCTGGCTGCAGGGCCCGAGGATTCCGAGGGTGTTCAGGGGGGAGTGCACAGTTATTGTCTAGCTTTTGTTTGTGATGAAGTAGTTGTTTGATGGTCTGTTTCTTTCAAACAATTGTGCTGTTGAGAGAACTGTTTTGTGATTTGACATTTCACATTAACGAGTGGAAATATTCTGAGTGCTCTGGTCAGGCAGCAGCCGGGAGGTGTGCTGTCTCCGTGTCTTTCTGTGTCCCCGGCCCTTTCCACCCCTGGCAGCCACCCACCCCATCCCGCTCACTCCAGCCGGATGCTGGAGAAATGCCCGTTCACCCGAGAGCCGTGTGGCTCCCCTCTGGGCTTCCCTGGGCAGCTCCTCTGTCTAACCCATAGTCGTAGGAACAAGGCTGCAGACAGCAGGTTGCTCTAAGGCGTGTACACGTGAAAATTAGCCACTCAGGCAAGTGACACGTGATTAGGACAGACAGCGCGATAGTGAATTTTACAGGAGACAGGTCGGTTGAGGGACTTGAACGAGGTGTTGACAAAAGGGTCAGACTCAACTGGGGGGGGGTCTTCATGTTGCCTGGCAGACACATCCCCTTGGCTTTCCGGTCTCTCTGTTACGCCTCACCTCAGCCACCCCGAAGCTGTGTCAGATGGTCATCCTGCAGTCCCCAGGTCACACGGAGCTTGCACCTTTGGTGACTTGCCGCCCCACATTGTGCTGTTTACTTCTCTGCCTCACTGTTAGATTGTGTGCCCCTGTGGGCAGGGCTGTCTCGCTCCCCTCGGTGTCCTCAGGCAACCCCTGTCATGTTTATCGAACGAAGGGACAACAGAAAGGAAACCCAGCATGAAACAATCCACAAAACGCCTGCTGAAAAGGTGGCGGAGAAGGCCACAGACTTGGTTCTGAACTTCCTGACGCCAAAGAGAACCCGGTCAGGTGTGGTGAGCCCCAGTGTCCAGAAGGCAGAGGCCAACTAGCCGGGTCCCGAGTGTTTCTTGTTTGTCTTTACACCTCGCTGCACTCTGAAACACCTAGAGCTGTATGTTGCTTTCCTAAATAAAACCTTTTGTGGAACAAAAATACGAGCTGCTGTTAATATGGATAATTTAAAAGGAGAAAGCTGGGTTAAAAAGAGCAGGTTCCAGAAGACTGTGAGGTGGGGTGCTGTGTGCCTGGAACTCAGAAACGAGGCATACTGAGCAGCCTATTGTTTACACACTCACGTACATGCCAGTTCGAGTCTCCGGGTCCTCTGATGCTCATGGTGGAAGAGGAGCACAAGGGAGAGCCTGTCAGAGGCGTGTGCTGGGGCCTCATCGAGTGACGTCCAGATAAAGTGAGTGGAGGGAGGCCCCAGCAACCCCACTGGCTTCTGCACAAGCTCCACCCCCTACAGCACTGGCCTTTGTGCACTCGGTGAACCTGGACTTCATCTGTGACCCATAGCTGACCCCTCCCTACACCAGAAGACGGTGTGGGAGGCCTGGAGTCCTCCTAGAAAGTTAAGAGTAGCTCGTGTTTTACCCACATGTATTCATTTGACATCCATTTGTGGAGCCCCTGCTACATAATAGACCCTGACCTGGCCTCTGGGGTCACAAAAATGATGTTTCTCTGTCCTGTAGGAGGTCCTGGCAGAGGCCACACAGCTGACAGAAAAAAAAAAATTTCTGCCCTGACTGGTGTGGTTCAGTGGGTTGGGTTATCATCCTGTCCTACAAACCAAAAAGTTGCCGGCCGATTCAAATCCTGGTCAGGTCCCTGGTCCCAGGCCGGGTCCCCAGTTGGAGTCCTGAGAGTCACCCTCGATGTTTCCCTCCCTCTCTTCCTCCTTTCCCCCTCTCTAAAAATAAATCATAAAAAAAATCTTCTTGAACTTGCACTTCTAATGTATATAATATACCTATTATTTTACACATTAAAACTTTCTTATAGTTGTAATTTTTTTGTATTTAAAACATTTTTTTAAATGTTCCATTTTTTCCCCACACCCTCAATATCGTGGACACCCTACTTTGAAGAACACAAGCAATATAATAAATCAGACAATGGCCATGCTGCAGGGACGGCTCCTGTGCTCCAGCACCGTGGGGGTGGTGGCCCCAGCAGGCTTCAAGGGCTCCCAGGATTGCAGCGGGGGTAGCAGCAGATGGGGTGCCACCCTGTTGGTGCCCGCTCCATTGTAACTCCACTTTCCCTTTCCAGGAAGAACACAGAGCGTCCCCTGGCCAGTGCAGACAAATGGCCTCTGCTTAAGTTCCTCTCCACCGAGGAAAGGTGAATCTCCCTTCCGTAAGCTGCTACTGCCTTTCTTCTCCCTGGTCAGGGATGAGTGGCAATTGGATTGATGGTTGTGGCTTTTCTTCTCAAACCCCCAAACGACAGGGGTAATATTGGCCCAGCCCCTTCCCCAGGATGAGGCCCCAGCTTCGGACACAGCTTAGCATCAAGGGGATCAATCCTGTGTTTGAAACCACTAGGGATTTCCAGAGGGACAGCAGCCTTCAGTCTCCTAGGCGGGGTTGAAGTGGGATTCCCAAGCAGTGATGTGCTGGCCAGCAGCTTGGAGCAGTCTGCCTCCAGGGTCGGGGAAGCCCCGGCAGGTAGTGTGTGCCTGGTTCCTGCGGTGTGAGTGGTTCCACCATGGCCAGCTTCAGGCCACCAACCTGGAGTCACCCAACACGAATTCAGGAAATTGATGCATGCTCTACAGATATGATTGTAAAATGTAAGCAAATACTTAGGAAGTGAAGAATTGAGTATTCCTGGGTTTTTTGGGTTTTTTAACAAAATTGTGAATATAGTTTTTGAATGACGGCTTGACATCAAAACCAAAGATCTTGAGAATTAACCAGTAGACTCCTGAACTGGCATGGGCCAGCTCCAGCACAACACGGCTCCCTCGAAACTGCCTATGAGCTTTTAAGAGTCTGGACCCAGGGCAGTGGCTGAGGACTTCCCCGGAGCAAAACCCCTCACCCTCTGAAGCCGGGTCTGCTTCTGGACACTGGCCAGCCCCCAGCGGGGCTGAACTGTCCCCAGCTGCCCCTGTGCCTGTCCCACAGCTCTCACCTGGGCAATGCTCACTTCACACAGGGACCCGCCTGAGCACCCCACACCTTGCCCGCATCTTGGTTCAACCCCATGAGCTCCACCAAGCTTTCCCCGAGGCAGACACCAGGCTGTTGCGCTACCCTGCAGACTTGGGTCTGGCCTGGGATCGTGAGGTCGCATCACACACCCCTGGTTCAGAGGACACAGACCCCAAGACCACTGAACTGAAAGTGACCGTATCACTCAAATGCAGTGCAAGCTCTTACTTGAATCTTGGTTCAAGTCAGTTAAGAAAACTTTTGGAGACATTCATAACCCTGGCTGGTGTGGCTCAGTGGATTGATTGCTGGCCTGCAAACCAAAGGGTCACCAGTTCAGTTCCCAGGCAGGGCACATGCTTGGGTTGCAAGCCAAGTTGTGCTCCCAGTGGTGGGTGTATGAGAGGCAACCACACATCGAAGTTTCTCTCCCTCTCTTTCTCCTTCCCTTCCCCTCTATCCAAAAATAAATAAAATATATTTTTTAAAGATTTTATTTATTTATTTATTTATTTATTTTTTTAGAGAGGGAAGGGAGGGAGAGAGAGGGAGAGAAACATTCATGTGTGGTTGCTGGGGGTTCTGGCCTGCAACCCAGGAATGTACCCTGGCTGGGAATCGAACCTGGGACACTTTGATTCCCAGCCCGCGCTCAATCCACTGAGCTATGCCAGCCAGGGCTATAAAATATTTTTTTAAAAAAGAAAACTTTTGGAGACATTCAGGGAAATGTAGACCGATTTAATGACATTTGAAATGTGATCAAGGCATTGTAGTGTCATTTTTTAAAAACTAAGTTCTGTTAGAGCAGAGGTTGGCAAACTGAGGCCCCACTTCCTGTTTTTATAAATAAAGTTTTGTTAGAACATTGCCATACCCATTTAATTATATGTTGTTACCACTTAGAGGGCAAAGTTGAGTAGGCGAAAAGGAGTCTGTGGCCCTCAAGGCTTCAAATATTTACAGAAAAGTTTGCAAACTCCTATTTTACAGAAACATGCCAAAAGTATTTAACTACAAATTAATCAAATGTCTGGGGTTTGCTTTAAAATAATTCAGTGTGGGAGGGAGAAAATGTAAATGAAACACCACGAACTGTGAAGCAGTGAAGGCACTTGGGTTCCTCGTCCTAGTCTCTCTGCTCTGATATATGCTTTTAATTTTCCAAAATTAGCTTTTGAGAAGGGAAGGCCTGCCCTCCACAACCTCCCAACCGCTTTGACCCCACACCAGGACTCTGGCACCACTAGTCTAACGGAAATCAGGACAGGACAGAGCCACAACTCTTCACCCCGGTTTCGTACACGCCCGATGATGACTTCTGTCCCGGGCTAACCAGAAAGGCCATGGGCGCCGAGAGAGCCCCCCAGGCCCAGCCATGCAGTGAGTGTCCCCTGGGCCCCGGGGCTTTGGAAATGGGAAGGAGGGGCAGGGGGGCTCCAGGAGAAGGGTCTCCCTGTCCAGGGGTCAGGCCAGAGACCAGGGCCTCAGGAAGGCTGCCCTCTGTACCCCTCCCCCACCCAGGTCTGGAGCCCTGACTTCTGCCTGGGACCCTGGGCATTCCCCTCACAGGCTCTGCCCCTCCCCCGCACTAGTGAAAGTTTTAACACCAACTGGTCAGGGTCTTTGGGCCAACTCAGGGAAAAGGACACATAAGGCACCCACCTATCCCCCCTACTCTGTGGCCACCATCACCATTAGCTGTCCGGATGAGGCACAGAGGTCCCCAGGGGGCCAGGCCAGGTCTCTCTGGCTGCTTTGGACTTGACCTTGACCCCATTAGAATCATCTTTGTAGCTCTAGAAGCAAACTAGACACAATAGGGTTTTTCCCCTAAAGATGGTTTTTATCTGGAAGGATTGACATTATCTAGAAACCCCACCGTGAAGCCAGACTAACCCAAAATTAACTGAAGCAAATGTGCATGACTCGTGGGGAAGCCCAGGCCTTTCCCTTTGACTGCCCTCACCCCCGAGCCTCACCATGTGTCTGTGTGTCTGTCTGTATGTTCTACCCACCAGCTCAGCAAACCTCATCGAAATCCTTTTCCAATGCACCCCACCTTACCCACACCCTACATCTAAGCCTAATGCCAGTCTCCCTGGTGTTGCCAGGAATGGCTCCAGAAGGTCCAGTTAGTCCACCAAAGCAGCCCGCACATGGCTCACAATCACCAGATCCCAAAACAAGCCTCCATCCACCATGCAGCCCTCTTGCCCACTGCACGCAGGTCTCCATCCTGGACCACGTCTGGCCACTCGAGAGTCCCAGCCGGTACCGGCCTAACCCTAGAAACAGCTGGCACTGTCCAGTGGTGTTCGGGGTTGTCACAGCTTGAGGGGCACGTGTTACTGGCATCTAGTGGGTCAAGGCCAGTGACTCTGCTCAGCACCTTGCAGGGCCCGGGGCGACCCCCACACAGAGGGCTGCAAACGCCAGTAGTGCTGAGGCGGAGAGGCCCTGCCCTCACCCTGTCCCTCGTCCACCAGTCCGAGCTTGTTGCCCGTCGCAGGGTGGCTGGGAACAGGGCTGAAGCCGGGCCATGAGGACAAACACAGGCTCTGCCATTTCTTAGCTGGTGACTTTCTGGGCCTCAGTTTTATACATGGTAAAGTGGGGGGAACTGCTGTCCCCTGGCCAAGCTGCTCCTGGAGTAAAAGGAGACATATGTAAAGTATCTGGCAAGTGGGATGGATCAGCCCCTCTAGTCACCTGGCAGCAGCGAGGAGACTGGGCAGGCCCCGCCCTGGCAGGGCCCCTGCTCCCAGGCTGTCAGTGCAAGCGAGGCTGCCTCCTGCTCATGGGCAGCCTCTGGACTCCTGCCCGGCCTCCCTCCCTCCCTCTGCCCTGCTGACTCTTGAACAGGTATCCCGGGCAAGGCCTCCGCTCCACTTCTCTTCCTAGAGCCCAGGAGGCGACCTGGGGGTGTGCCCGGGTCTGGAGGGACTTTGGAAAGCAATCCTATGTGGGAAAGCCCAGTGGGTGGGGGGCTTAGAGACCCCAGCAGAGCCCCCCAGCCGCTCTGGGAGCCCCTGGGTCTGCCTCCACGTGATTTCTGCTTCCTTTCTCCGTGGGGGACTTTGCCATGAGGACTCAGAGGGCTGGGACCTCTGGGCAGGAGACACCTGCTTATTCCCACTGTGGGACCTGGGGTGGATGCCTGCCCCTCTGTGGGCCAGTTCCCCTCCCTCACAGGTGTCAGGGACTAGAGGGGAATCTGTGCTCTGTGTGCAGCTGCTGTTGCTGCAAGCGAGGTGCAGCCCAGGTGGCGCTCGCAGCCCCCATGTCACTGTGTGGGAGCTGGCGGGCCTCCTGCTCTGAGGCCTTGGGCAGGTCCTGGTGTATTCCCCCAGATGCCCACTTGCCATCTCCAAGTCTCAGTCTCATCCTCTGTCCAGGCAGCTCTGTGAGGTCCCCAGGGAAGTCAAAGCATTGAGCCAAGGGCCACCTCAGAGCAGTTTGCCCGAGGACAGTCCCTGCCGCTCCTGTTTCACTGACACGTGCCCTTGGCTCTCGCTCAGTCTCCAAGCTCTGTCCAGCTCACTGATTCTATTTCCTTCTCAGCCACTGCCTCCCTGCACCATACACTCTCTGAGTCACTCGCTTGCACCCCTGCACTGCTGCCTGCCACCCAACCACATCCCTTTGTGATTCACTGCTCGGACTTTCCAGTCGTGTTGCTGGCTTTCCTTCTTCCCCGCAGCCTGGAGCCCTCTCCTCCCACCCCAACAAATCTCCCAGCTGCTTCTCCACCCCCCCCCACTTCAGGGGGCCGGCCATGGGTCCCCCTGACAAAGCCCCTGAGACCCCCGCTGCCCTGTCTGGGGGCTCCTCATGGCTCAGTCATCTTGTCCTCACTGCTGCCACCCACCCCTTAGGAGGAGAGTGCCCTGGAGACAGGGGTGGCAAGGCAGACAGGCAGAAGCCCCTGTGGCCGTCTCTCCGAGGTGTCCCCACACTCCAAGCTGCGCCGAGCCCCACTGTGGCTCTCCATGCGGGGATGGCAAGGCCTGGGGCAGGCACACCCTGCCTGGGCTGCTCCCCGGCAGCGCCCAGGGCGAGGGGCACTCAGGCAGGTCCCCTCCAGTGTCCCCATGGTGGGCAGCTGGCATTTCATGGGGAGCAGATTCTAGTGCTGCCCCGGGTGTGACCACAGGCCTGACCTGGATTCAGTACCCAATCCTCCACTTGACAGCAGTACACTGGAGCCTCAGAGGGGAAGGCCCCTGCCCAGGTCTCCCGCTGGGAGGCCCCCCGCCCAGGACGAGGGCAGGCTGGCCCAGAGCCTGCCTCTGAGCACCACGCCCGCTGCCTGCAAGTCCCACGGTGGCGCCCATTTCACAGACAGGGACACAGGCTCAGAGCAGCCCTGTGGGAGGGGAGGGGAGCCAGCAAGTGCCATTCAGGGCACAGCAACAGCTGTCACAGAGAGGGATTCAGAGGCTGTGCCAGAGAACATGAGGCCCAAGGCCAGAGACCCCCTCTCCCCGTCATCAGAGGATGAAGGAGGCAGTGAGAGATGAGAGAAGGCAGACGCAGGGAACCTGCTCCAGACCACTTGGCCACCCCTGGGTGGCTAATTATGAGTTTGTTTCCGGCCCTCCCGCCCCAGAACTATTTGGGGCAAGAGGAGGAAATTACACCGATTGATTTCCTCCCGACCCCCTTCCCCAAGGGCCTCTCCCTCCCACCTCAGTTCAACTCTGACCACCTGACCCTGGGACTCAGGAAAGCAGTTTCATTTCCCCGCAGCCTGATTTCCCAGAGGGAGGGGCGGGTGGGGTGGGGCTGGTTTAAGGACAGAGAAGGGGGCCCTCCCCGCACACAAGCAGAGGAGCCTGGCAGTGCTGCTGCTGTCCTGGGACAGCCGAGGTACTGGGGGGGGGGGCACAGAAACAGAGACAGGGAGATGAGAGGAGAGGAGAGACAGACAGACTAATGGGGGGGGGGCAGTGAGGAAAAGTAGGAATAGAGGAGAGAGAGACAAGGAGGCAGAGATGGGGAGAGGAGGGCAGATGGGTGAGCGCGGAACAGGGGACTGCGGGACCCGGATCAGGGGACAGACATGTCTGCAGAGAGTGGTGGCCTGGGGGAGAGGGCCCCAGGCCCCTGTCACAGGAGCCCTTGCTTCCCCTCCAACCCAGACACCATCTCCCAGGGACAGTCATGGCCTCGTCGGGTAAGTAAGCAGAGGAGGGCATGGGGGGCGGGTGCAGACCTGCTCTCCCCGAGCAGCACACCCACTGATCCTGTCCTCCTCCCCAGCCCGGCGCCTCCTTGCCCTGGTCCCCATCTTTCTGGGCCTGGCGGCCTCCCTGGAATGGAAGGCTGTCCACAGCCAGGACCCCTTTGAGAGATGCATGCAGGACCCCGACTACGAGCAGCTGCTCAGGGTTGTGACCCTGGGCCTCAATCGGACGCTAATGCCCCAGAGGGTAATTGTGGTTGGTGCTGGTGTGGCCGGGCTGGTGGCCGCCAAGGTGCTCAGCGATGCTGGACACAGGGTGAGAAGCACTGTTTGCAGTCTACTTTGAGTCTTTCCTGCTGCAGTGGGAGGGACACATCCCTGTGGGGGGTGGAGATGGTGGGGGGGGGGTGGGGAATGGGAGCTATGCTTCCCCCCACGGAGTCTGGGAGGGGGGCCTGAAACCCCCCGCTCCACCGTGAACCCAAGGGAGCGGGAGCGTGTGCTGCACCCAGAGGCCTTTCACTCCCTATCCCGCTCTCTGTCACCCGGAGGGAAGTCCCTGGAAACGTCCTCCAAACTTTTGGGGGGAATTTGTGTTGTGGATGGACACTCTACCCAAGGGGAAGTGCCCCTTGAGATCTAATCACTGTCCCTCTCACTGAAATTCAAGAAAGAAAATTGAACCTGGCCTGGGACATATGAGAAATTTCCCCCTCCCTGAGCTGGGAAGTCCCTCTTTAATCTGGCCAGCAGCCTTCCTGTTGCAGTCTGGAAATGATCATATTGTACATGCTCACCATGACCTTCTGTTCTCCCAGCAGCCCCTCTCACCTCCCCTTAAACAAAGGGACCCTTGTCCAGTCTGGGTCTGTCCTACGGAGGGGATGTGGGGTGGGGGTCAGTGGGAGGACCTGAAGAATCCTGCTTGAGGTCCCCCATCCCTCAGGTCACCATCCTGGAGGCAGACAGCAGGATTGGGGGCCGCATCCTCACCTACCGGGATGAGAAGACCGGCTGGATCGGGGAGCTGGGAGCCATGCGCATGCCCCAGTCACACAGGTGAGGCCAGACCCTACCAGTTCCCCCACTCAGTGCCCCTGGACTTGAACTCTGACCCCAAACCTGTCCCCCCACCTCCAACGCCATTCTTTTCATAACCCCAGTGCTCCCCACACTGTACCCCTGAAGTGCTCAGGCCACGAAGTCCAGCTGGACCCCTAGCTAGCCCCGCCCAGCACCTCTGGACGCCCAGCCCTACCTCCCTGACCCTAGTCCCTTCCCCAGCCCAAGCACTGCCCCGCAACCTCAGTGAACACCAGCTTTCACTCCAAGCCCAGTCCTATAGTGGGATGGCCCCTAGGCTCCCAACCTTGCTCCCATTTCATTCCCATCCCTGGCACCGATGACCCCGAGGGTAGCCCCGCTCCAGCCTCCTGCCCACCTCCAAACTCTGGCCCTGGCTACCCTACCCACCACCTTCCCTCCTTTGAGCCCCAGGTAGGGGGCAGAGGGGACCCCCATCCCCGCTGCTGCACTCTTGCCAGCTTTGCCTGCTCCCTCAGGATCCTCCACAGGCTCTGCAAGAGCCTGGGGCTCAACCTGACCGAGTTCATCCAGTATGACGAGAACGCGTGGACGCAAGTGAGCGACGTGAAGCTACGGAACTACGTGGTGGAGAAGATGCCAGAGAAGCTGGGCTATGACCTGCGCCCCCAGGAGCAGGGCCACTCGCCAGAGTCCATCTTCCAGATGGCTCTCAACAAGGTGGGTGCATCCTCCCATGATGCAGCCCTGCGCTCCACACTGCTCTGGCCTGTGCCCGCCTCGGCCTCCCCCTGGCCTGGCCGTCCTTCTCTCCCTCGTGCTTCTCCCATCACCACTGCCTCTTCCATCTTTAGTTCCCCCACCAGCTCGGCTGATCCCCAAAGCACCATCAGCCTTTGGTCTCCGATCTCCTGTCCTCTGCCTCAGCGGAGGACAGCCTCACCTTTCTGCACCTGCAGGCAGCTGTCCTCCACACCCAGCTCCTGAGACCCGCCCCCAAGACCCTGGTGCTCAGCATCTTCCTCAACCCTCTCATACTCCTGGGTTCCCCATCTCACAATGGCCCTGTCACCCCCAACTCCCCAATCATAAGGCAGACTCCCAGGTGCCATCCTCACTGCCTGTCCTCCACCCTGTCCCATCCTTGCACTGTTCCCATCTCTTTGTCACCACAGCCCCAGCCCCGATTCAGGCCTCATCCTCTCCCCTGGGTCCTTCCTGCCCTGCCTGCTCTACCTGGAAGACCCTTTCCCTTTCCCACCCAGGGAACTGTTCCTCTCTTAAGGACCAATGCCAATGTCCCCTCCTCCAGGAAGCCCTCCCTGATCCCCTCAGGAAGGAGCTGCACCCCCTGCCCCTTCTCTGGCAGCTCCTAATTGTCCATCTTCCCTTCTGGACAAGGGTGGGCACCTTGTTCAGGCCACTTCTGTGTTGGAGAGTGAGGGAGTGAAGGCTTCATCCTTCAGGAAATCCCACGGCCATGGTGGGGAAGCCAGGTTGACAAAGAAGAGGGCTGAAATCAGACAGGGAAGTGAGGAGATGAAACTGGAACAAGGTGATGAAGAATGGCCACAGGGGTGCTGGGCAGAGATGAGGCAGGGGGACAAGTACAGGGGTGTGGCGGTGGGGGAGAGCCAAGGCTGGTCTGGGCACTGGGTACTGTCCTTAGAATGGGAGTCACCTTAAGAGATGGCTACCAAGGGACTACCAGGGGCCTCGGATGTCAGGCTGAGGGGCTAGAACTCTATGGCTCCAGGTGCCAGGCAGCCATGGGAGGGCCCTGGGCAGGAGAGGGGCTGGTGAATGACCCCCTCAGCGGTCATGCCCAGCAGAAGGGACTCTGCTTCCGTCTGCACCCAGACAATCTGGGAGACAGTTAGTGGGCACCAGAACAACACAGCACTGAGACAGCCCCAGTCCCCGCCTGCAGGGAGCTCAGAGCTGAGGACAGATAGATGCAGGCAAAGCAGCACCCAGCTGGGATGAGCATTTTCAGTGCTCAAGTGTGCCAGGGGGTGGAGGGACATTAGGGACTCAGGAGGACTTCCCAGAGTTATGACATCTGAGTAGCACTGGAGGGCAAGGCTGAGGTCACAGCCAGGGCAAAGGCCAGGCAGCCTGGATGAGAGTGGTCAACGGCCAGCCTTGGACAGGAGAAGGAAGAGAACCCAGGCCTGGACTGCGGTGTCCCACCCCGCAGCTCAGCAGTCTTCTTATCCCTCTGCAGGCCCTCAGGGACATCAGGACAATGGGCTGCAGAAAGGCAATGAAGAAGTTTGACAGTTACACGCTCCTGGTGAGTGGGGGACTCGGTGTCCCTGTCTGAAACCATGGCCAGGAGGATGCCCCGGGGGCTCCGGCCCAGAAGTCAGAGGGCAGGAACCTGGCCTGATGTGGCCCCCCTGCCTGACCATAGAGCTAGATATGCCCCGTCTCTGTGCTTCCGTTTCCTCATCTGTCACAGAACGGTGTGGGGACCGGACCCCTAAGGTCCAGGGAACTGGACTAAGCGGATGGTGGGTGGTGGCACACAATAGGGAGGTTCAGCTGGGGAGAGGCCCCTTTGGAGTGGGGCCAAACCGGCAGGTGCGTCTTGCCCGCACCCCAGGAATACCTCCTCCGGGAGGGGAACCTCAGCTGGGCCGCCACGCAGCTCCTGGGAGACGTGATGTCCAAGGATGGCTTCTTCTACCTCAGCTTCGCAGAGGCCCTGCGGGCCCACAGTTGCCTCAGCGACTACCTTCGGTGAGGGGCGGAGCCTGTGGGGTCTGTGGGGCCAATGGGGGCGAGCAACCCAGTGGAGGAGGTGGTAGGTAGTGGGGCACCTGTAGGTGGCGAGTGGGGCTGGCGAGAAGGGCGCAGGAGCCAAGGGGGAGGAGAGACAGGGGGCCTCGGTCTGGCCACGCTCGCCCTCACATACCAGGTTATGTGGAGTAAATAGGTAAGGAAGGTTAGGGAGAATGGCGTGGTCCAGGAGAAAAGAGGCAGGGTTTCCGGGTTACAGTTCTCTGGGGGACTTGTGGGAGTAGAGGGCAGTGTTGGATGAGTGGGTGCGGTTCTCAGGGAGCGGGTGGGTGAAATGCAGGGGAGTGCCCAGAGCCTGGCCTGCGGAAGGGGGCGGACCCGAGAGCCAGGGTCATGCTCCCGCCCTGCCCCCAGGTATAGCCGCATCGTGGGTGGCTGGGACCTACTGCCACGTGCGCTGCTGAGCTCGCTGTCGGTGCCGGTGGTGCTGCACGCTCCCGTCACGGGGATAACACAGGAGACGCACGAGGTGCGCGTGCACATAGGGACCTCGCACCGAGGCCGGAGTCTGAAGACTATGGCCGCCGATGTGGTGCTGCTGACCGTGAGCGGGCCGGCACTGCAGCGCATTAAGTTCTCCCCGCCACTGTCCCGCAAGTGGCTAGAGGCACTGCACGGGCTGCATTACATGTCAGCCACCAAGGTGTTCCTGAGCTTCCGCCGGCCCTTCTGGCACGACGAACACATCATGAGCGGCCACTCCAACACCGACCGCCCCTCGCGCAAAATTGTCTACCCGCCGCCGGGCGAGGGTGCACTGCTCCTGGCCTCTTACACGTGGTCAGATTCGGCGGCCTCGTTCTCTGGCCTGAGCCTGGAAGAGACGCTGCAGGTGGCGCTTGAGGACGTGGCAGCGCTGCACGGGCCGATTGTGTATCGGCTCTGGGACGGCACTGGCGTTGTGAAGCGCTGGGCGGACGATCCGCACAGCCAGGGCGCATTTGTGGTGCAGCCGCCGATGCTCGGGCAAGACGTTGACAAGGAGTACCGGGAGGAGTTCAACTGGGCCATTCCCTATGGGCGCATCTACTTTGCTGGCGAGCACACTGCCTACCCGCACGGCTGGGTGGAGACGGCTGTCAAGTCGGCGCTGCGTGCTGCGATGTTGATCAACAGCCAGGAGAAACCTCTGCCCGTGGAAGCAGGGCCTGTGCGCATGGCGGAGGCACCTGTGGACAGCCACACCCTGTGCGAATCTGAAAAGGGAGCCCCCCACTGACCAGATATATATATGACCACTCCACCCACAACCAGCTAGACGACCTGCTATTAAAGTATTTTTGGAAAAAGCCGTGTGGTCTTGCCCCCTCCCTGATGCAACTGCTTCTCTGATGGGTTTGGAGCAAAGCCATCAGCTCTTGCGGAGCCCCGGAAGCTGTCCTCCTCCTGCCTGGGCAGCAGGAATCCACGGGGCAAGGACGGACACTGGTTTGCACCACTGGTGCATGGTAACCGCAGAGCTGGCCTCGACTGTCGCGACACAGGTGAGGCCTGATGCAAGGAACAGAAAGCCCTGCCGATAACGGATTAAACACAAGTTTATTTTTCTCAACAAGAAGCTGGTAGGCAGGGTCCTCAGAGTGTCTTGAGTAGCTCTGTAGGAGCCTCTGTGTCAGTTATGTTGAGGACGTGTCCCCGCACAACTATTAGGTGGCAGCTGCACCCCAGCGCCCCGTCCTCGCTCCTCCAAAAAGCCCCAAACTCGGGCAGTTAAACGAGACTTGCCTCCACAAGCCTCAGCCACCACTCATCCCAAAGGGGCCTCCTTTTGTGTCTCATTGGTCAGGTTAGGGGTCCAAGGTCAGACACCTGCTCTGCAGAGTGGTCAGAGAGGACCACATACCACCCCCGGCCCATCTAGTTCAAGGCTGCATGGCAGCCTCCTTCCTACAACTACATGAAACCAACCGGACACTATTAGTGTCAGTTAATGAAGCCAGCTAATCAGGAGGGTGCTGGAGACCAGGGCGGAGCTCCGCCCTCTTGCTCCGCCCCCAGCTTCCTTGTGCGCGGTGAGGCCGGAGCTCCATAAAGTGCTGTGCCCGGCAGGCTACTGCCAACCCAGCAACTTAGGAGTCCGCGCCTTCCTCTTCTTCCTCCTCAGGCAGGATCTCCAGGCTGCTGTCGGGCTGTGGGGCTGTGTCCGCAGGGAGGGGCGGGGCTGGTGGGGCCCGGGTGGGTGACAGCGGCAGTGGGGAGGCAGGAGGGGAGGGGCTGCGGGGCTCTGTGGGTGGGACCAGACCCAGGACCTCCTGCACGTTGTGAGGCAGCTCCTGGGGGGGGGGAGAAAGTCAGAGATCTGAGGGAGTGGGGCGGAGTGGGGATGCGGTGCAGTGGAGCTGTTGGGAGGATGGGGCACCCACCACACAGGCGGTCAGCTGCCGGTAGAGGGCCTCGGCCCTCCTCAGTATGTCCTCGACGCTCAGCTTCATGGTCAGCTCGTTGATGTGCTAAGGGAGAAGAGGGAGTCAGGCCCACCCGCCCCGTGGCACTCAGTCGCTGCCAGCACCACTCTGTGCCACACAGCGGAGGCAAGACAGATGGTGATGGCCCTCCTGGGGTTCAGAGTGGGAGCTGGGGACCAGGGGTGGTCAGCTCTCCAGATGCAAGATACCAGGAAGGAGAAGAGCACTGAGCTTCACTCCCACATCTCCTGGCTGGCCGCATTTAGGAACTACGGGGGTGGGGGGTTGGGGCTTCCTCATGCTTCATGGGCACACCACTGGGAACTGGGGGTAAGATGGGGCAGGAGAAAAAGAGCTGGTCTCAAGGCTGCCAAGCTCAGGGCTACCCGCACTTACAAGCCTATTTTGAGCACTGACTACTGCAAAAAACTGTGGCACAGAGCCAGCCTCCATGGATTTCCCAGCCAGCTGCCGTGTCCCATCTGCCCAGGTCAGCATGGGCAAGGGAAGCACGGGGACCAGAAGGCATCAGGGCCTCACCTTGAGGATCTCATTGGAGCCAAAGCCCGAAAGCATGAGGGTGTCCCGCTCCATGTCCAGGATGGCGCAGGCCACTAACAGGTGCAGATTGGGTCCCGGAAGCCCTGTCCACAGCACCTGGGAGTGCCAAGGGAGGGGTCACCGCTCAGCCTCTGCCCGAGGTCCCACCGGAGGTGTGCCCAGGCCCCTGCCCTACTCCTACATGCCTCCCACCCAGGTTGGCCGGCCCACCTCCCACAGCCGAAGGACATCCGGGAAAGGGAATTCCCTCTTGAACCAGATGAGCAGCCACCGGAAGCAGAAGCAGAGAGAGCCTGAGTCCTGGGAGTCTAGGGCAGAACAGTGGTGGGAGGGGTGGTGCACTTATAAGCCAAGGGCAAGCTCAAAATCAAATGCCAATTCCATTCGAATTCACAGCTAGCCCAGTGGTTGGACTGAGAAACTAAGTCGCTCTGGCTGGGAGACCCTCCATCAGTCTCGGCGAGGAACTCATGCCCAGCGTGGGAAAGGCCTCTGAGATGAGCTGGGGGCGCTGTGTCAGTTGGAACCCTTCCCACCCTGACTCCCAAACCCCAGACGAGGTGAGCCACCCCGCATTTCCCACTCTCATGGGGAGGAGTGGTGCAGTGGGGCCCAGTGCAGCTGGAGGTGCGAGGCCTCTGCAAGCAAAAGTGTAAGTTAGTATAACTTTCTAGGAAAACAGCCATGTAGACATTTCAAAGCTGTAAAATTAGCCCTGGCTGGTGTGGCTCAGTGGATTGAGTGCCCCCCTGCAAATAAAAGGGTCTCCGGTTCGATTCCTAGTCAGGGCACATGCCTGGGTTATGGTCCAGGTCCCCAGTAGGGGGTGTATGAGAGGCAACCACACACTGATGTTTCTCCCTCCCTTCCCCTCTAAAAATAAACAAATGAAAAAAAAAAAAATTATCCAGACTCTTCATCATGATGAAAAAGTGCAAATAACCTCAATGTCCAAGAGGCCAGGTCAAATCTATTCTTTTGTTTTGTTTTGTTTTAAGATTTTAATTATTAGATGGGAAGGGAGAAAGAAAATGAGGGAAACATAGATGTGCAAGAGATACATTAATCGACTGCCTCTCACACACCCACCACCCAGGACCTGGCCGGAGACCCAGGCACGTGACCCAACCAGGAATCAAACTAGCGGCCCTTTGGTTCTCAGGCCAGCGCTCAATCCCCTAAGCCACACCAGCCAGGGCCAAACCTATTCTTGTGCATGGCTAATATGGACAGAACACCGTGCGGTCAATAGAGTTTAAAAACCTTTTAATGACACAGCTAATACCCAAGTGCCCCAGGGGACTGGCATGAGCTTTCTAGGCCTAAGTTTCTTCCCCAGTGAAGTGAGGCCAGTATCTCTCCCTTCCCCAGGGCGAGCCTGCACTTCAGTAACGCAGTACGCATAAATAAGCCAATTTATCACCTGTATGCAAAAGAATACTATTACCAACAGTAATTTCCACTTTGTTCCCTGTATGAGTTTCCCGCACTTTTCACATTGAACAAGCAACATTTTAAAGCTGGAATGCAGCAGTCACGGCACCGGGATACTGAGAACCAGTTTCCCAGCCCCGGATCCAGAGGGGCGCAGTAAGGCGTGCTCCGAGTCCAGCAGAGGAGTCCGGGGCTGACAGCGGCTGCGGGAGCAGTGCATGCACACCTGCTTGTACTGAGATTTGCTCCAAATGGCAACCCTGCCCTCACAGGGAAGTTGTGGGTTCTGGGTTACACCAGATGTTTCTTTCTCTTGTTTGGATCAGGACCAAACATCCTGGACACTGTGGCCACTCACTCCCAGAGACTGGCAATGTCTGTGGCCCTGCCATTCCCGGCCCACCAAGACACATACCCAGGAAGTCACAGAGTGGCGGGTCCAGCACCCGGAGCAGCAGCAGGAGCTGCCCGAGTTGCCGCTTCATGGTCTCCTGACTCTCCTCGAAGTTCCCGTGCTGTGGGGGGAGGGCCACGTGAGGTGCTGTACTCCGGCCCTTTGAAGGGGGCCTGTCCCCCCATCCCTGAGCCTCACCACAAGCTCCATGAAGCCACAGAAACACCAAAAGGCATCCACCTCGTTCTGGACGACGTAGAGGATTGGGGAGAGGAGGTCGCTCATGCCCTGGACGTAGCCTGCGGGGACAGGAGGTCAGGGCCTGGCCCCACCCCCCCGTGCCCCCCGCAGCTCCCCAGGGCTGGCCCTGCCCAGGCACCGCACCGAGGTCGAAGTGGTACATGCAGTAGGTGAGCAGGATGTCGTTCAGCAGGCTCAGCCCCGGGTTCGAGGGCCCCTCGTAGAACTTGTTGTTCCTGTCTGTGCGGCTCACGTCTCTCTCTGCAGGGACGGGGATAGGGTGCAGGGTCCTCATCACTGCTGGCCCCCAGCACCCACTCTCTCCTCACCAGCAGACCCCAGGCAGGTGAGGGCTGGTCCCCAAACCACCCAGACGCCATGGAGGAGCTCTGCTGCATCACGCTCGCCCCGCTCTCCTAACTCTGATGCTTACTAACCATCCGCAGACGGGGAAACTGAGGCCCGGAGTAAAATCACTGGCCAAGGCCTCATAGTGAGTAGACGGCAGAGCTAGGATTTAAGCCCAAGGAGCCTGGCTCTCCTCCCTTCTGTTGCCGCCCCACCCTCAGCCCCTCCAACCCCTGCTCACCCCATCTCCCCCCAGCGGACCTCATCCCTGCTCCCCGGGAGAGAGGGGCACCCCCAGACACCGACCCACCAATGAGACTGCGGTAGCCGTGCAGCAGCGAGTTCCTCCGCTCCTGCTCAGGGCTCACCGACTTCCACTGCAGCTTCATTCGGAAGTACTCGTCCCTGAGGGGCGGCGGGGCCCCTGTCAGGACGCCCTGTCACCGCCTCATTATCCAGGGCTCGGCCCAGGCCACTGCCTCAGAGCCTCTCCCTGTCCACATGGACCCGAGCGGGGCCCCATGCTGCCCCGTCCTGACACCTCCTGACACAGGACACTCTGGGGCTTTGGTTGCAAGTCTATCACCACCACCAGGTGTGGGGACCAGGACACACAGCAGGGGCACACTATATACGAGGAACGAGGGAGGTGGGCCCCGCAGTACGGGGATCGACAGCTGGAATAGTCCGGCGCCAGCATGGAACCGGCCTCGGAGACAGGGCAGGCCCAGTGCACCGCCTCTGCCCCCTTGTGTACATGTGGCGCCCAGCACGTGGCAGGCTCACAACCAGCAGCTTCAGAGCACACACGTGTGAGCACCTGCGACGTGCCAGGTGCCCTGCTGGCCACTGGGACATGCTGACTGAAAACCTCCAATCACCATGGGAGGCTGGAGCCCGGGGGCCG